AACAGATGAGTGTAGGTGAGGGTAGACATATAGACCTGAGAGAAATTGGGAAAGGGAAGATGAATAGGATCAAAATTCATTGCATGAAATTATGAAAGAATAAAAAAATATTTTTTTCAATAAAAAAGAATAAGCCTATCATTTCCCATAGTTATCATGGACTAGAGGAATGTAGGCCAATTTCAAACATCCAGAGTGAGCATACTTTGTTGTCCTCCCCAAGGCTAACACAGTAAGAGATCTAAGTACACAGTAAAGACTGCTGTGTCAGGTGTATGAATAGATATAACAAGCTCAAAATCATTTAAATGAGACCATCTGTAGTAATTTAGCAGCCCAAACCTCAGCATTCTTCAAAGATGAACAACGCAATACACTCTGCTAAAGTTTCATTCAAGTTAGCAGGCACTCAACTTCTTAAAATTATAAATATAAAAAAGTCAGATAATAGAAAAGGTATATTCCAGAGGCAGGGAGATCAATGGAAGTAAACTCAGAAATAAGAGAATGAGATTAGCAAGCAAGGCTTTTAAAACAAAAATTATAAATTGTTTGAGAGCTCGGCATTTAAGGTTGCAGCTCACCATGTCCAGATAGCTCTCTGAGCTGGGTGCAGAATGGTTAAGTCCCTTTCTCAGAAGGATAACCCTGCACAGAGCTCCCTGTGAATGCTGTTTGAATTGGTGCCTCATTAACATGTCTGTCCTCATATACAAATTAGGTGTGTTCCCTCTCCTGTTCCTTTGTCCTCCCCTTGCCCTGACTCAAGCTAGCCGTGTTGCTTCAATAAATGAGCTCTTTCTCTGAAACTGACTCCTCCCAGAAGTGCTTTCCAACATGCTCACAGCTCTCTGAACCCTGCTTGCCACTTCTGTTCCCTTTGTTATTATGAGCCAAGGACCCAGGAGTGTTCTGCGACATTATTTTAATTATGTGGAGAGATGTTGGTGTGTTACATTTGCTTGTGCTGCATTTGCTTAGTTAGGTAAAGGTGTGTTGCTTTTTGTTTATGTTTCATTTTTTAATTATGTAAAGATGTGTTACTGTTTTACCTTGCCTGCCTAAGGCACCTGATTGGTCTAATAAAAAGCTAAACAGCCAATAGCTGGGCAGTAGAGGGATAGACAGGGCTGGTGGGCAGAAAGAAAAAGTAGGAGGAGGAATCTAGGCTCAGGGAGGAAGATAGGAGAAAAGGAGGGAAAAAGAAAGGGAGATGCCTGGGGGTCAACCAAGCAGCTACCAGACAGACAGACATGGGGGAAGCAGTGAAAATAAAGAAAAAAAGATAAAGGCCCCAAGGAAAATGTAGATGAAGAGAAACAGGTTAAATTAAGTTATAAGAGTTAGTGGGACACGGATAAGCTAGGGCCAAGCACTCATAACTAATATTAAATCTCTGTGTCTTTATTCGGGAGCTGGTTGGTGGCCTAAAGGAAAGCCTGCTGCTCACAAGGAAAGGGGAGACCCCACAATAAATGAACTCAAGCATCTAAAACAAAGACACAAATACAATGGGGAGTAAAGGATACAATAGTGTATCAAATACAACTTCTAGCGATAAATACAATATATGAGATAAAATAAAAATAGACACTACTGTAGATAAAATTAACAAATATTAAGACATATTAATTGACATTATCAAAAATAAGTATAGAAAGACCAATGAAAATAAGTAGTCTATGTCCCATCTGAAAATACCAAGGACTCTGTAAATTCATTGATTTGATCTGGGGAAGTGGCAAGAAAAGGGAGATGCCAGAGAAAAATTCTACAAAAATAATGGGTGGTTTTTTTTTTTTCCAATTTGATGACAATATAAACTCTGCAAACCCAAGATGCTTGGCAAATGGCAAGAGAAACAGAGAAAATTACGACAGCATATGTCAGAATCAATTGGCTGGAAATCACTGATACAGAGGAAAAAGACACATTTTATATGTAAACAAATGACAGGATAATTGACAACTTCTCACTGGAAGCATGTGAACCAGAAGACAATCGAACAACATGATGTACTAAAAGTATATTGTCAGCCAAGAATTCTCATTTATTGAAAGAATCCCCTGGAAACAAATATAAGGCATGGACAATTCAGACAGGCAAGCAGATTGCCTTCATTGCAGCAGAAGTATATTAAAATATGCACTTTAAAAGTTTCCCAAGTTGAAGAGGAATGATTCCACATGAAAACTCAAATCTATACAAAGAAACAAAAAATACTAGAAATGATAAATGTCAGCAAATAAACTTTCTCATTTATTTGTTTAAACAAAATTGGTTTTGTTAAAAATAACATATTTGGAATTTATTTCAAATGCATAAATAAAATTATGACAACACAAAGGATATATGTAAGGTTATATCATAATGTTGGAGAGTAGATTGTGATATATTTAAAACATCTATTGTATACATTAAAAGCAATGACTAAACAATCTTATAGATAAAAATACATAGATATAATACTAAGAAATAGTGTAAACAGAATAAAAATTAAAGAAGCAAAACATGGAAAAATAGAAAACAAATAGCAAGACAGTGGACTTCCACCCAATTATATAATAATTGCATTCAGTGTGATTTATGCCAGACTGAATTTCTATAAACTAAGATCTGACTAAATGCTGCCTACAAAGTATAAAGTGTAATATAGAGACACAGGTTAAAAATCAAAGGAAGAAAAATGTGCACGGTGCCAACTCTAATGATATTGTAGCCAGAATGTAAATGTGAGACAAAGTAGACTTCAAAGCAAAGACTATTACCAAAGCTAAAGAGAGACATTTAATAATATAGGGGACAGCTCATCAAGGGAACATAACAGCGACTGCAGGTGGATGTCAACAAGAGAGTACTTGCCTTTCTTGGAAGGACCTTGGATTCAATCCCCAGTGCTGAAAAAAAAGATAGAACAATGTAAATGATGATACATCTACTAACTCAATGAAATATATAAAGCAAGATCCCATAAGACTTTGAAACATGAGCAAGTTATTAACATTGGTTAGAGATTCAAACAGTCCCCTGTCAACAATTGATTGCAAGAACAAACAGAAAATTAATGAAAATATATAAGACAGGAATATTTCCACTAATCCAGTTAGCATCTGTAGAGTATATCTAATATAACCTGTCTAAATGAACACAGACTACTCAAGGAGACCATATCTTTGGCCATATAAATTTTAAAGTATTAAAATTATTCAGAATGTGTCCTGTGACAAGAAAAACAAATTAGAAATCAATGATAATAACTAGAAAATTCCCTGTATTTAGAAATTATAAGCATGCATTGTATTAGTCAGAGTTCTCTAGAGTCACAGAACATATGGGATGAGTGTCTATCTAGACATATTTAGCTAGATAGGTAGATAGATAAATAGACAGACAGATAGATATGATAGATAGATAGATAGATAGATAGATAGATAGATAGGACTTATTGGAATGACTTATAGGCTGCAGTTCAAATAATCCAATAATGGCTAGCTATAAATGGAAAGACCAAGAATCTAGTAGTTGCTGAGTCCCACAAGACTGGATATCTCAGCTGGTCTTCTGTATGTGCTGGAATCTGGAAGAAGTAGGCTCCAATACCAGTAAAGGAACTGATGTGCTAGCAAGGCAAGGGCAAGCAAGAAAACAGCCTAAGCTTCCTTCTTCTGTGTCCTTATATAGACTTCCAGCAGAAGTATGGACTCATAGTCAAGTGTGTCTTTCTACCTCAAGATTCGGATTAAAGATGTGTGTTTTACCACCTCAAGATCTGAATCAGAGGTCCGTATCTTCCAGCCTTAAAATCTGGATCAAAGGTTTGTATCTTCCCACCTCAAAGGTTCAGAATAGAAGTGGATTCACCTCCTGCAAACCAAGTAAAAAAAAAGCTCTCACAAGTGTAGCCTCCATTTCTGAAATGTAGTTCATTCCAGATTTAATCAAGTTGACAACTAAGAATAACCATTGCATACATCTAAATAACTCACAGGCTAAAGAAGAAATCACAAGAGAACTTAGGAAATACTTTGCATTAAATTATATCAAAAACATGGTGTCACAATTAATGGGATAAATCCAATGCAGTTCTTTGATAAAACAATAGCTTTAAGTATTTATATTGGGAAAGCAGAAGGGTATAAATTCAATTATCTGTGCTTTCATTTAAGTAAGTTAAAGCTGAAGTAAGAAAAAAGGAATAATAATAATAAACAGAATTCAAGGGAATATAATAATAGATAAATTTTAAGACCTTTGCAACCAAAGTTATTCTTTTTGAAAAGATAAAAATGAAAAATGACTAATCAAGAAAAAAGAGAATAAATTCCTTAAAAGGCATACATTTCAAAAATTGATGCAAAATAGAAAAGAAAGACATGAGCAGCCCAAAATTAATTGAAAAATGAATACAAAAGCCTACCTACACAAATAGTTTGTTAAACATCTAATGAAAAAAAGTCAATCCTGTATAAACTCAAAAATTGGATGTAGAAAATAATTTCCAGGCTTTAAAAAAGATACAACATTATGAAATTATAAAATTTGCAAGTAAATGAATGGAGGTGGAAAAAAATCATTCTGAGTGAGGAACCCAGACACAAAAAGACAAATATGGTGTGTATTTGCTTATATGTGGATGTTAGCTCTAAGCAATATACAATCCTTATAACCACAGAGGTTAGGCATAGAGTAAGGGACTGGGGCGGAGAATAGACAATTATGGATGTACAGGGGAGGGGGGTCTAGAATGGGAGGCTCAAAGGGGAGGGGGAGGGACGGAATGCAGGGAGGAGTGTGTGTGTGTGTGTGTGTGTGTGTGTGTGTGTGTGTGTGTGTGTGTGTATTATCTAAATGGAATCACCAAATAATGGGGGAAATGAAGCCTCAGCTGGACATCTCTCATCACCAAATAAAGCCTCCAGTTCCAGGAATGGGTTACAAGTAGTCAAGTTATTGAGAACAGAGGCTCCATGGGAACCCCCGACAAACAAGCCAGGCTGTTGCGAAGGCTGCTGGTTACTCTACACAAACTGTTGGTACGGCCCTACACAACTCATTTGAAGGTGGAGAAGTTGAGCTGGTAAGCTACAACCCGGTGACCTACAACGCCGAGCTTCCTGCAAGAGGAGCTAGTGCAGCATTGGCACAAAGCTTACGGAGTAACCCACCGAATCTGTTCAGATTGAAGGTCTGCTGTGTGAGACGGAACCCATCCCCAACATGGCCGGGGTAGCCAGGAGTCTGAAACTAGATAGGTCAGGGACCTAGGGGAAAAGCAAATGCTGTGTATTGTTCTGCTACAGGAACAAAGCAATAGAATGACTCCTAATGTCATTCTACTATACTCATAGATCACTATCGTGCTCGGCCATCACCAGAGACGCTTCCTCCTGCAGTAGATGGGAGCAAAAATAGAGATCCACAGCTGGGACTTGTGCAGATGGGGGAGACCTAGTGACGTTCACTCCTAAATGGATGTCTGCCGTAATTTGAAAAGCGGTGCACAAGAGACAGGCGCCTTTACTGGGGGAAAGAGAATGGGAAAGGGGGGAGGGGAGAAGGGAGGCTGGTCTCTGGGGACAGGAATGGCAGAAGGGAAGGAGAAGGAGAGACAGAGAGACAGGCAGAGAAGCAGAGAGAGGGAGGGAGGTAGGGAGGGAGGGAGGGAGGGAGGGAGGGAAATGGGAGGGGCAGGGGCAGGGCCCTTTAAAAGGTTGCAGAGTGAATATGCACAGGTGGTGCTCTCAGTGGCTGCAGCTGAGGCCATTTGCTGTCAGAGCCCCAAGGACAGTCAGTACAGATGCCTGAATACTAATAATGTCTCCATCAAATCCCGCCCCTCAGGGCTCAGGGAGCTATGGGGGAGAGAAGGCAGAAAGATTGTAAGAGCTAGAGTGTATTAGGACACCAAGAAAACAAGGTCTTCTGGATACAGCAGGATCGATGAACATATGAACTCACAGACACTATGATTCCATGCATAGGAGCTGCACAGGTCTAGGTCAAATGGGCGCCCAGCACTGAGAGGGGAATTGGCCACAAGCCCCAATCCTATTCCAGAAGCTATGGTAACCACTCACAAATGAAAAATTAGTTTTCTCCAGTGGAGTCTCCCTGGAGGTTCAAAAAATACTTAAGGCTAGGCCCATGCCCAGTAGTGCAGTGCCAACACAAAATGAACTTGGTAGCATTCGAGGAGGTCCTTGGTGTCATAATTCTTTGTCGAGGTTTTTCTTCTTTCCTACGGTTTTCGGTTTTTATATGATTGTATGGGATTTCTGTGTTTGCAAATGTGTGTGCCTCTGTGTCTAAATGTGTTTCTTGAGCTTTGTCTTCAGCTCTTTTGCTTCTGTTTGTTTTTTGCCCTATTCTGGTTTGTTTTTATTTTACCTAATTTTATTTCATTATTATATTTTAGATGCCTGCTTCTAATGAGAGAGAGAAAGAATGGGTGTGGATTTGGGCTGATGGAAAGTGGGGAGGATCTTGGAGCAATTTGGGGAGGGGAAACCATAATCAGAATAAATTGTATAAAATAAACCATTTTCAATTTAGAAAGATAGCATTATATTGGAACGAATCAGACAAAAAAAATCTTATTTAAGCCAGACTTGATGATGCATGCTATACTGTCAGAACTTGGGAGGAATTTAAGGCCAGCCCGGACTATATGAAAGTCTTTCTTGAAAAAGGCAGTTATTTTAAAACAAGAAAACAAAGTCAGGACAGGACCAAAACACTAACCACCCAACCAACACGGGACCAAAGCCCATCGTGAATACAGACATGGAACCTTCATCGTGAGATTATCAATCGGAACCCAGCTCTACATAAAACATGACAGAGTTGGTATCCTAGTTTTCTCCATTGCTCTGGTGAAACCCTGATGAAGAGCAGCTTGGGTGAGGAAAGGTTTAACTTCCAGGTTGGTCCCTCATGAAGGGAAGCCAGGACAGGAACTCAAGGCAGGAACCTGGAGGCAGGAGCTGAGCAGGGACTTCGGAGAAACACTGCTTGCTGGCTGGCTCCCGGGTCACATCAATGACCCTGTCTTCTATAACCCAGGGCCACCAGCCCATGCATGCTGGCCCACAGTGGGCTGGACACTCCGTCAGTCAGCAATTAAGAAAATACCCCACAGGCCAATCTCCTCAACTGAGATTTTGTTTCCCAGATATGTCTAGGTTTGTGTCAAATGGACAAAACTTGACTATGATAGCTGTGATTATCCTAATTGCAAAGTTGATTCAAATCCCAAATCAACAAAGATAATACGTCATACTGATAGAATATAGGTTAAATAATATTATCTGAAGAGATGAATCAATAAAATTCAATGAATTATGGCAATATTGACTTAACCCCAATAAGGTAAGTGTGGGAGACAGAAGCTGAAGGATTGCGAATTTGGGACTACCTGTGCTTCTCTCTCTCTCTCTCTCTCTCTCTCTCTCTCTCTCTCTCTCTCTCTCTCTCTCTCTCTCTCTCTATCTATCTCACACATACACAAAAGTAACAAAAAATAAGCACATTCAGAAAAGTCACAAGATCAACATCAAGAATTTGTGATATTTTCATATGTTAGTAACAAAAAATTGAAAATGAATTAAAATACCTTGTCTGTCTTCAAGACCAGGGAGAAGCGGTTACCAAGTCCTGGGTAGAGCTCTTCCGGTGTCCAGGTGTGACCTGAGGTGGACTGAGGGAATTGACAAAGGAGGCCTACTCTGTACTAAGGGTTCTGGGTCAGCACCTGTTTACAAAGAGCAGAGGAAGCACGGCTTTAGGTTTGAGTGTGTTAGAGCTGCAGAGGACTAATCATGTGTGAGTTAGAGAGCTAATTTCCAAGGCCAAAGACTGTCAGTCACATAGGTACTCTGTAACCCTGCTGTGGGTCATGCTTTTGGGTTGTGCCAGCAGCACATTTATGCCTGCCTGCCTGCCTCCCTGCCTGCCTCCCCTCTCTCTTTCTTTCTTCATTTATATATTAGTTTTCTAAAGCGCTGAATGACTCAGGCAAAGACACCAGCAGGTAAGGAGAGACTTGGGTGGTGGTGCTGATTTTGTCACCTGGGAGCTGTGTCACCTCAGGCAGTACCTGCCACATTGTTCTGAGCCTCCACACTTAACATGTGAAATGGGCTCCAAGACTCAGGCTCCAGCAGTTGTGCTGAGCAATCTGAGCCTAAAGGAAATCTTGAAGACTTCGGTGTGACGCTTGACACCCAGGAGATGGAACAGTGTAGCGTGCGTTCCTCCCTTCACATACTTTAAAGCTGAGTCATTAGATGTTATCACAAGCGAAGTTCTTACAATTCGCACACCACTCCATCGCAACAGCATAGCCTCATTTAAATGTTAAAATTACAACAGCATAGCCTTATTTAATGTTAAAATTACATTTCTGTGAAGTCATGTATCCAACTGAATCACCCTTAAACAAATGCAATCTTTTTTACATGATCAACGAATTAAACTCCGGCATATGCTGCTACTGTGGTCACCTCTGGGTTTGTCTAAAACTCTTCTGTGTTTTATTGCTGTGTAAATATTTGGAAAACTTTAAAGGGCTAATTTCAGATTTATGCCTTCTCCCTTCCACAGTTTATACTTCAAGTCTATTTCTGCACTCTGGGCTTTCACTGCTGGAGCACAGTGCAGTCCTCACACTGTTACTATTTACATTTTTTGCAATCTGCCACAGGTTTATAAAACTTTCCATTTGCATTTTCGATGTGATTAGCTGCTTTTAATTACATCTAAAGCTTCCTTGCCAAGTAATGATGAGAAAGCACAGAGAAGTCACAGCGGCGACGTACGAAAGGCCAGACAGGCCTCGGAAAACTGCTTCAAGTGCTAAGTAAGTAAGTCCACCTCATTGTACATGTGCGGTGGCCTCGGTTCAAACTGCAGCAGAACGAAAGATAAGCGGCGTGAGAAATGCCGGCAAGAGGTCTCTCAAGTGTACAGGCTCAAATCCTACTTTGAATATCAGAGCATAATTGATTATTTAGGGGAGGGTTTTGGACTTTAAAAAAAAAAAGCACACGCCTACACTTCCAATTCACAGGAAACTGCAGCTGGCGGCTTTTGACCAGACTCGACTGGGTCACTCAACCTCAATGGTTGCAGCTTGTGCTGGTGCCTGCTCTGCTCTCTGTCTCTGACTCGCTCTGTCTCCGTCTCTCTGTCTCTGACTCTGTTTCTCTCACCCCTCCCCCCTTAGCTCCCTCCTCCCTGTCTCCTCTCTCTCCCATGTTCCTAGCTCTCTAAGGACCTAAGTGCTTAAGCCTTCTGTGAGTTAGATTTGTTAAGCAGCCAAACATCTTCCAGAGACTTCTGGACACATCCTACAGATTTCAGCGACAAGTTCAAATTCAAATCTTTGATAGATTCAAGTTCCTCTACAGCATCTCTTTTTCTCCAGATATTGTTCTCTCCGCACGTTGCTGGGAGATGGGGTCTCCTGACTTCTGTAGTCTTTCGTTTGTACATCCTTTAAGTCATCTGGTCAATCATCCTGTAAACATTGACTGTCAACCACGAACCAGGTATGATGCTTCAGGATTGGGGGATGATAGTGTGCCCAAAGGAAACCCTGTCTCTGCCCTCTAGGAGTTGATCACCGAGAAGAAATAGGCTTTGCCCAAAAGATCCTGCCGATGACTAACTGTCTGCTCCGATAGAGAGCTGTGGAGGCGGGAAGCCTTCGGCAAAACACAGAGCCTTCATCTTGCTGGGGTGCTTCTCAAAGGAAGTGAAAATCAAGAATGTGATTGGGCCTTGGGCTGTAGGATAGGAGACAGGGCATGTGGGTGGCCCACAGAAAGGGAGGAAGCCATAGGGAGGTTTGGCTTGATCAAGAGCTGGGGAGAGCCTGGCCACACCTGTGTGTTCCTCCTTCTCCCTCTACCCGTCCAGGCAGCCTCAGGGTCCTGCCCGCAAGGGAGAAATGCTCTCCCTTTGGATCAGCGCCCTTTTGATCTTTGCGTCTTAAGGCTCTGACATCAAGCAGAAACCGTGAAGCAGAGGGACAGCTATGCATGGGAGGGAAGCCAGAAGTTATTGTGGGACTTGGTTTGCAGAGCACGCGTGGGGGCAACTTGGCCCCTTGCACGAGTCTAATTTAGAGGTTTTCCCAGCGGGTGGCCCTAACTCATCCAGTGCCACTCAAGGGTGCCCTCCCTTCCAAAGGGCGGCTCCATTTTAATTCAAACCAAATCCCAGCTTTCTGTAATTTCAGATGGTAAGGAAACACTGGACGGGATGTGAAAGCATGTGGTTTGTGCAGAGGAACTCAACCATGACTTACTCTACGCGCTGGGTGCCGGCAGGCAGGCTGGGTGCTCAGCAGCCTTCCCAGCCTGAAGCTCTGACGATGACAGTTAATACAGGGATGCCGGGAGGAGGAGTGCTGGTTTGGGGGACATTCCAGTGAACAACGGGGGAGGGGGGACCCGGAGGAAGAACATGGCTGCTAATTGGTGCATAGAATAGAACAAATTCCCTCTCATCACAGAAAGTATTGTGTTTCATGTTGAGGAAAAAGAGACTTGCCTATAAATTAAACTGGGAAATGCAGAGAAGCAATTGTTTGCTGGCCAGAGGGGTATGCTGGGACAGTAATGAAATGGGACATGGAAGGGGGAAGGGGTGCCCAGCCATTGAGTGCATCTTCCTTAAATGTGGAGGCTTGACTTCCTCCCGGTGGCATCTCTGGGCACTCTACGCTCCTCACATGGGCAGAGCTCCTCTGTCAGTGATTGCTCCCAAGCTTCAGCAGCCACATCCTGAGAAATTATCACATCTAGGTTCAGCAGAGTGGTGGAAATCTACCTTCCCACTTACTGCAGCATCAAGTTAACTGAGAGGAGTTTGGGTTCTTTGCTATTATAAAATGAGCAACAAGGCAGGTTAGCAGCACTGAGTCAGAGACAGGAATCACCTGCAGAGCCCAGAGTTGGGTCAGGAGAGCTTCTGTAGAGGCTAGGCTCACCTTGTCCCTTTGTCTGCTCAGCTGGTCTCTTCCTCTGTGTCCTCACTCTAGCCCAGCACCTGTGTCTGTCCAGTTTCAATGTGACATGCTGGACTTGGAGACTGTCTTCAGAATGTAAACACTGCCCACCACCAACTACAGGTCACATTGCCTTTCCTAACCCTCCTGCTGAGTGGAGATGTTAAGGGAAGTCAATTAGTTGTATGGACTGGACTTAATGGGTAAGACTTACAGAGACCCCATGTCTACACAGCATTTCTTTATTAAAAAGTAAATGTACTGGACATTCAGGTGTCAGAAAGCACGGTGAATCAATCTGGTTTCTTTGGCATGGATTTGGTAAGAGGATGTTCTGGAAATGCTTTTCTGGTTAAGCCTTAAGGAGGAATATCTTTGGACTTGTGCTGGATATCAGGAAAACCTTCAACCGGGTGACCGGTAGGCAGTCTAACCCCGCTCGGATCTTTGTGGGACCCAATTAGGTGGATTAGCCAGGACAAACAAGTCCTGTGAGAATGGGCATTTTGTTCTGAGGAAACTATTTGCTCACACACGGGATTCCTGAACGAGTCACTTACAAGCCACTGGGTGAAGTGTCCTTAAAGGAATTCTCTCTCCACCCATGACTGAGCTGATTAAATTGCTTTTTCTCATAAGGTAAAGTACAAGCATAGTCACTGGTTTTACTAGAGATCGATTCTAGATAGTTGGGTTTTGTTTAGTTTCAAAAGGACTTGAAGGGATTAAAAAAGAAAAAAAATAAGTCAAAACCTTTTAAAAATCATGTATTGTCTTTTTAAATAGACTGAAGATATGTTTGGGTATACCCTTTAAACTCTCTCTTGTGAAAAATCACATTAGTCTGAAGGATTTGAAGATTGGCCGGTCACTCAGCTCATTAGTTCCCACTATGGAGTTGGTAGATTCAACTTTTGGGTTGAAATTTTAAGATTGGGAAAAAAGCTGAGAGAGAAGTAAGAAAAGGGGTCTTTCTGAATAAATTTCAAATCATGTTTACATGGTATTTTTACTGATTACTCATACCTGCTCAAGATCTTAGAATAGCTTCCCATGAAGAAACTACCACTTAGAATACTTATAGTATTCCTTTCTGTATACTTTTACAAGTTCTGAGGAAAATGGTTTTTTTCTCCTGAAAATACCCTGTGGGTAATTATCTTAGAAAATGAAGTTCTGAGGTCAGTGAGAGGAACGCTTCTTACTTCCAGACCACATGAGTTGAAATTTGTCATTTGTACCTCCGTGGTCTACCTTGTTAGCCCTTCCTGAACTTGCAAAAACAACAGCTTCACTCAGGGCCACAAACAACATTTCTTCATGGTTCAAACTCAATGCTAAAGGTTTTTGAGGGCATCAATAACAGACACAGTTTATAGCAGGCCTTTCCCTGGTCCCCAATGGTCCTTACAAGGCCCATGCTTTCCAGGGAGATGTACAAATGACAACCTGCAAAGTCCTGTTTCTTCAACTGGCCTTACTGACCTTGGGGTGGCTGAGATTTAGTTGGTCCTCACAAGACTCCACAGAGCCAGCAGCTTCTGTCCGTGTGCTGTGTGAGGTGGGGACCGTGATCCGTAGCATAGCATGAACACACTTGTCTACAGTAAGGCAGTTTGGGCTTTTGAACAGCGCGTAGTCACATCACACTCCTCCCCGTCTCTCCGAGCCTCCTTTTCCCTGTCTGAATCAGAGATAATGATTCCCGTGTGGCTGAGGTGAGGATTGAACTGAATAATAGTTGTGAAGTAGTTGCTGGTCCATAGTAGGAGTCACAAATAGCACTTGCTGACCATTGCCTGTGCCTGTCTGATGCTCCTAATGTCTCACTATCAGTCTCTGATCTCAAATGTTCCCTTCTGTGCAATGCACATGTGCAGTAAACATTAAGGAACAATGACAGGGCACAATCGCAGACTCCGGTTGGCAATATGCAAGCCTTCGGCATATGTGCTTACAGGACAGAACATTCATAGAGCTAGCCAGTTCCGGGTCGGAACTTGAAACCTATCATTCTAGGATAAGAGAACTTAGTTCCCTAGCCTGGCTGAAAGATAACACCAAGCAGACTATGGCCACAGTTTGTTCTTACATGCTGGGGAGTGGTGGATAGTGGACACAATCACTGAGACGGTAGCAGAGGTACTGGTGTGTAATCAGTTGCTTTCCTTCTCTAATGGACTTAGGGGATGGAGCCGCCTCTGAGGAAAAGCGTGGGACGTGAGGTTGTCGTTGGGATTCTTACTGTGGTCTCTGTCAGTACCATCTCCCATTTGTGGTTACTGCCTCTTCTAACTCATGTGATGCGCAGTGCCTCCCATCTCCCCTAATATGTCTCGGACTGCATGCCATCCACAGTACAGCCATTCTTCTCTCTGTGTAGATTTTGAGCCATGTAACCCATTGTTGGTATAAAAGGACTGAACTATTTTTCATCTGTTCTGAACATGCACAAACTTTCCCCTGTCACTGTTCTCTAAACAATGCTGTACAGTGACATACATTTACATTATATTACCTGTTACAAGTAATCTGGAGAGGACTTAAATTATTTGAGATGGTATGTGCAGACCCGGAACCATCTTACAGAACGCAGTTGAGCTTCTTGGGTTTGGGCAACTGAGGGAGTCCTGAAACAAATTGTCATAGATACTGAGGGATAGCATGTATTAGTCACCTCATAGTTGCATGTGTTAGCTGTGGATTTGGATGTCTGACCTGGAATTACCCTCACTTTGCCCCTCTCTGCTCAGAAACCCTGTGTGGGGGGGCTCTTGAGAGAGGAAGAAAAAAATATTCTGAGAGTCCCAGGATCCCACAGTCCCCAGCTCTGGGTGGGCTTCACAGTCAAGCTCCAGGGCGTGTCTGAAAGTGTGACGAGCCAATGGAGAAGGCCCTTCAGTTGTAGTTCTGGGGACTGAAAACAGGGGCCTTGTCCTGCTGGATGGAGAGCTCTCATACATGGAAATGCTTAAGACCCAGCCAAGCCAAAATCAGTCCCGGAAAGAGGCATGACAGGGCCTCATACCGAATCCGGTCTTTCCAGACCTCACAACCAGTCCTACTCCTACAGCTGCGGCCACGCCATGTTGTGAGCCAACCCAGTGCCCGTCCAACAAGTGGCCCCATGATTGCTTTATGCAGCCTGTGTGGCATTTCTGTTGCTTCTCTCTTGACAACCCCTCCGTGCTTTGACTGAGTCTTTAGAATTGAGCTCTTCCAGTCACTCCTGAGAATGCAACTATAAGGAATCAGTAAGGCGTTTTCCTTTGAAGTACCCTCTACAAAGAATAGCACTCAGGAATTAAGTAGGAGGTTAAATTCATTGCAAGATTATAAATCTGTATGCACTGTTTGGGGTCTAATGGTTTCATGTATAAGTTAAGTATGGGCAGTTAAGGTAAAGACGCTTTAGTTTTTTAAAGGTCAATGACAATGGTAATTTAATTTTAGATCATTGCCGACAGAGTTCAAGTCAACATACTCATGACTAGAAACCTGACAGAAATTAATGCTGATTATTGGGTCTACATTTCAGAATATGACCTGAGTAAGGGTCATTGATGGTATCCAAAAGGCCTGTAAAATTGTAACAATAATTTTGAAAGCCACAGAGATGTTATCTCTACCTTAGACCTTTGCATTTATTGGGGGCAAGGAAGAGAGAAATGTATCCAAAGTGATGGGACACCAGTTAGGAAAGCCAGAGTCCTGGTTGGGGGCAGAGAGAGGAAAGCAAACTTCAGACAGGGGCTTGATGCCCCTGTTGACATAAAGCAGGGGAGAAAAACAACTTTCATCTTATATGATAGTTCTTGACACATCGTGTATGAATTGGACAACTGTATCCAGACTGTAAAGCTGAATCTGGGCTCAGTGATCAGCCATAACTGTTTATTAGTGATGCCCCTGGTGAGCAGAGGGGTGGATTCTGGAGAGGCTGTATGCTTAAGTATTTTCTATTCCCAAGACAGATTCTCAGCAGAAGACAGAGTAAATAATAATAGTGCTTCATTGTAGCAGGGCATATTTTGTGAGTGGCTGGTGGTTAAATAAAATTGGGCATGAGTCTTTATATTTTCTACAGACATTTCCAGAACCTAGGGAAGCTGTATTAGCTACTTCCCTGTTGCTGTGATAAGACACCATGACCAGAAGCAACTGTAGAAGGAAGAGTTTGTTTAGGTTATAGTTCCAGGGGGAGAGTTCAAAATGGTGCAGAGGGCGTAGCAGTGACTTGCTGGGACACGTAGCTGGGAGACCGTATCTTCAACCACAAACGTGAAGCAGAGAGAGAGAGTGAACTGGCAAGGCTATTGTCCATCCTAAGTGACGTCCTTCCTCAAGCAAAGCTATACCTCCACATCCCCTCCAAACAGTGCCCCCAGGTAGGACCTAGTGCTCATGAGAGACATTTCTCATTCAAATCATCACAAGGGCCGTGGATAGAAGTTGATGTATTGCTGTACTGGCAAATATTGAGCTTAGGTAACACCCTCTTTATATAATAGAAAAAAATTAAATGTTCCAATACAGTTTAATGAGAAAATATGGCTAAAATAAACAAAGGGAACAGTGCCCTAAATGTTAAAAAAGGGGGTCTACCATGGATTCTGGAAGACGTTTTTAGGGAAAACGTAAGACATGAGCGACTGGGATGAGGTGGGCTGCACAACAGAATGACATTGGCATAGCCCTCTTCCAGAAGTTTCTCATTGCGTGTGTCTGTGTGTTTAACTGATAAAGCTTTCTGAGTTCCAATTCATTCTCATCAGCCCATATCCCATAACTTTTGATGTGCTGCCCTGAAAAGAAGCCTGAGATTCCAGCTTGATTTCTTCTTGTGTCCAGCTTACTTAAAATGGTTTGTTTATGCTATGACCAAGGAATGAGCCCTCAGTGGGCTTTTTTTTTAGGAATTTATGGAGTTATAGATATTCTGTAGAATATCTCGAATATGATTTGTGCAGATGGGATAAAGCATTTCACTATCACATTGAGTTTGTTAATATCGCTTTGTTTTCCTAACTACTGTTTATATATTACTATTTAAGAACATAAAAAAACAAGAGGGTTTCCTATCTCTCTTTTGTCTTATTTAATATCTTCACTTTCATTAATATTTTGTAATCTTGTTATTATATTTATATTTTAGATATTTCAACTTGTTACTGTTATGTTTAATTCTTCATATAAGTTTATTTTAGATGTATGTCTTTTAACTATCAGTTAGAGATTATTTTCTCTTATCATGACCTCTTTCAACAGGAGATTTGAATTACAGAAAAATCTCAAACCTATAGAGGGAGAAAATGATGGATATAGTTATGCTTTAAGTGTGATCTATTCACCAGTTTTCAATATCAATTTTGTTTAAAACTTTTATTTTTCATTTTACATACCAACCCCAGTCCCCCCTCCCTCCTTCTCCTGCCCCCACCTTCACCCTTCCCAACACCCATCCACTCCTTACAGGGATAAGGCCTTTCTTGGGAAGTCAACAAAGTCAGGCATACCAAGTTGAGAGAGGACCAAGCCCCTCCCCTCTGTAACAAGGTTGAACAAGGTATCCCACCATAGGAAGTGGGCTCCAAAAAGCCTGTTCATGCAAATGGGATAGGATCAACTGCCAGCCCCCCACCCCAGCAGATCAAACCACATCACTGTCACCCACATTCAGAAGGTCTAGTTTGGTCCCATGCAGGTTCCCCAGCTGTCAGTCCATAGTTCCTGATTTCCCACTAGCCCTGGTCAGCTGTCTCCATGGGTTTTCCTATCATGCTCTTGACCCTCCTGGTTCATATGTTCCCTCCTCCTTCTCTTCAACTGATCTCCAGGAGCTCAGGACAGTGCTAAGTTGTGGGTCACTGCATCTGCTTTCATCAGTTACTGGATGTAGGTTTATTTTTGTCTTTCTGGGTATCGGTTACTTCACTCAGGATTTTTTTTCTAGTTCTATCAAATTTCAGGATGTCACTTTTTATGGGTCACCATGGCTTAAAGTTTGAATTCGATTTTGATTATTTTACAACAAAGATTTTATAAAATTTTGGAGAATTGGCAGAATTGGTTTTCTTTTGGTTTTGTAGGTAGAAATGGTCAAGGAGAAGAATTGATGTCAAAACTAAAAACATTCTCTTTATTTTGTGCTTCCAGTTATAAATAATTTCCTAGCAAATCCTCCAAAGAACTGCATGACATTACTAATATTCTTTAAGGTTTGCATCTGATTTGATCTTACTTCTTATTAGTTGTCTTCTCTTTTATCCATATTGCCCTTTTTTGGATTTAAGATGTAATTTTTTCTCTAAAAGATATTCTTTCATTGTTCCTATAGAAAAGGCTCTGGGCTAACAATTTTCAGTGAATAATATTTATTTGTGGATAAAATTTCAGTTCAAAACAGTTTTTGCCTTTTAACACTGGAATCATTATTTTCCAACTCTCTATTTCTGAAGGGAAGTCAGGTGGTTTTCTTTAGGGGTTTTAATAATTTGTTTATTCAGGAAGCTCTTTGTGATATGTGTAGACAAAGAGATGTTCCCAGAATTGTGTAGAACCAGCATACCTGACTTGTGGGCAGGGATGAGTCACCTGGTTAGATGACTAGAATTGAAAAGCTTCATCATTTCTTATCACTCTGAAAGAGCTGAATAACTTAATGCTTTTCTGACTCGATTTTCTTTCTTTTTTTCCAGATTTACTTTATATTGTTTATGTATTTATGTTTTGTCCACATGTATGTCTACACACCAGAAGAGGGCATTGAATCCCACGGGACTACAGTTGTAGAAGGTTGTGAGCCACTATGTGGTTGCTGGAAATTGAACTCAAGTCCTCCGGAAGAGCAGCAGTGTCTTTAACCACTGGGCCATCTGCCCAACCCCTGTCTTACTTTTCTTGAAGAGTTTGTCTTTTTTCCAACTGGCTGGAGCAGAAGACTGTTTGGAAATAACAGAAGAGCTGAAGCTGTATCTTCAGTTTCTCGTAATTGAAAAGGAAAGGACAGCCTGCATTTGCTAATGAGCTGGATACAGATCCAGCCTCTTCCCCGGTAGAATACCAGGACATGGAACTGAGCCACAGAATAAGGCCTCGAGCCGAGAATAACAAGGATTTTGTTATGTTGTCCACTCCAGGACCCATTCTGCTATTTTCATAACATTCTAAAAGATTTCGCATCTGCAAGTAATTAGTTGCAAAATAATCTATCTTGGGACTGTGGGTTAGTGAGGGGTTGGGCAATAGAAGTTCCAACTGTGGCCTAGCAACGTGTCAGTCTTGTGTTCCTTCTGTCTTTGCCTGCTTGTGAAACTGTAAATACATTATGTAGGTACAGGCTGGTCCTGCTCTGTGATGAGCATGGCCGTTGGTCTGATGTAAGCTCCCTGTGTACAAAGGTCCTTCTGACATCTTGATTCTTTTCCACAGCACCCTGAGAGGCAAGAGAGGTTACGATTTTTATCTGATGGTGGCATGGTTTTCTTTTGTTATGAATTTACAAACAGTTCATTAATTGTAATGACACACAGAGAAATCCACAGAAATAAATCATTGTGACATAGCTCTGTGAACAAGCACAATTCATACATACATACACGTGTAACCAACACTGAAGTCAGGAAAGAGAACAATGCCAATACTCCCAGATTCCCTTCCAGCTGCCCACCCACCCCACAAGGGAACCGCCCTTCTGACTCTAAGTCAGTGATGGGAATGTTTGAATGAACTTTGTGTGGCACATGAACCACACAATGCATACATTATGCTTGCCTGCCTAGCACACGTATCTTCACATGATAAATTCACATGTAAAAAAACAACAAAGCCGTGGATGTCTAACTTGGAGACCGCGCCTCTGGCTCCACTGGATGAAGGATACGCAAGTGGAGTACTAGAAGTTCTGTCCATTTCTCTTGAGAACTGACCCCAAACTCAGCATAGAAAGAGAGCAATGTTTCCTTCCCTAGTGCTTGGAGAATAAAGGGGAAATCTTTTTTCCTACTGTGGACTTCTAGAAATGTAGGCTGTCAGTACTTAACTCACGTTGGTCCCACCTAGGCCAAAGGCAAGGATCAGGGAGTGATCCTTTTTCAAAGGATTTTCCTGTTTGGCTATGTATTTTGCTCAATTATCATGAGAGAGGTCCACCTTGTGCTCCAGTAAAGGAAGGGATATTTTACTGGAATGCAGAAACTAGTAGCCAGTGCCTAAATTACCTTCTTGCTTGGAAGAATGTGTCCCCACGGATGAAGTCCTTCCTTGTGAATAAATTGCTTCTCTTTGCAGTGGGCAGAGTCAAAAATAGGCACCACTTAGCTCCAGCTGGAAACCTTCCTGAGAGAAAATTCTGGAAGCCTTCTTTCTCATATCTTCAGCACTGCTGGTCTCTAATTCTTCCCCATATACATACTGTTTGGAGACTTACAAGCTAGTGGCCAGTTATTGTCTGCCTGAGGAAATGGTTTGGAGCTTGTGAATGGAGGGATGGAGAAACGGACTGTGGTCAGGCTCTGTGTTGCCCTCAGCATTTGTTATTTGTTTGTTCATTTATTTGATTATTTGTTTGTATGTCTGGGGTAGCCTAGGCTAGCCTTGAACTCACTATGTGGTTGATTCCATTCCTGAACTCCAGACCCTCTTTCCTCTACCCATCAAGGGTCAGGACTGCAGGTGTTGCCCCCACAGCCTGCTTGAACTGTTGCTTTTAGATGGAACCCAGCTACTTCAGTGTAATAGCACAGATGCTAATGGAACCTCCATTAGAATATAACTGTTTATGAGCAAGAAGGGGGAGTCAAGATTATGATGGGGAAACCCACAGAGACAATTAAGGTGAACTTGTGGGGAGCTCATGGACTCTAAACCGACAGTTGGGCACCTACATGGGACCAAATCAGGCCCTCTACATGTGGGGGACAGTTTTGTTGCCTGAGTCTGTTTCTGGGACCCTTGGCAGTGGGACCAGGATCTATCCCTGGTGCATGAGCTGGCTTTTTGAAGTCCATTCCACATGACGTGATGCTATGCTCACCCTTGTTGTGGGGGAGTGGCTTGGTCCTGCCTCAACTGAATTTGTTGACTCCCCATGGGAGGCCTTACCCTTTCTAAGGAGTGGATTGGGGTGGGTTGGGGGAAGGTGGGGAGAGGGAAAGGAGGAGAGAGAGGAGGAACTGTGGTTGGTATGGAAAATGAATAAAATTTTCTTTTAAAGAAAATGCCTGCTTTAGTCTCAGGCCATACAAGCAGCGCACTGGAACCCATCAGAACCACTTTCTCTTTGCAATCTATGTGTATCCAGACCCACAGGGTTCATGACTTCTACATGAAAAGAGATCTCCAAGTTTGAGTCTGCACCCAATAAGAGATGAATTATCTTTATTTTTGTCCCTTGAAGGATTAAAATGCTTTTAATATAATGACATTTCAAAAGGAGGTAACCTTTTAATTTTACAAAATTTTTTGTCAGAAAAGTAGAAATGTCCAGGAAAGCTTTTAGAGGATGTCAAGAATGTCACATTTAGGTTACCTTCACCTGTGATGTGAGCCCTGCCTGATACACCCTAGCTCAGACACCAGGCTGTTGTGGCTTATGAATGGCAGTGTTTTAACTGTTCATTCAAAATTTACTGCTCTTATGGAAACATAATGGTTTAATTATGGGAAAGGGGGCTTTTAATTTTCCTGTTGTCATTCCTCATCATGCAAGCATCAGATTGGTACATCTTTGGATTGTATTGGGTTAGAATGATTGATCTGAAAAAGCATTTGATTTGCCAACTTGAGTTCATTAAACAAAATTTAGTGAATTTGGCTTGGGTTTAGACAGAATCTCTATTTCTGCAATGTCCCTACGCAAATGTCTGCCATTTTGTGCTAGACATTTATGCAAAGTGCCATTTTCAACACTGATAATTATAAAACAAAAATATTGCTCAACTCTGAAAGTATTAAAGATGTTTACACATCATGCTGTAGCAAATACTCAGCTAAGATTTAATTAGGATGCAGCTTGCTTTCATCTTTATTAATATAAATTATATGAATAGCAATTATTTATTGTCAGTAAATGTTAGACCTCGGTACCTATTTTACACGTCCTAATATCTAGGGTCACATAAGCATAGTAGGTGAAGAGGACTTGCCATTCAAAGTGGCATTCACACTCCCCTGAATCTCTGAAGAGGAAAAGGAAGACATGTGTTTACTGTATCGAATCATAAAAATTAATTATTTAAAGGATGTTGCTTTATCAATAAAATATAGAAAAGAAAAATATCTAGAACAAGCAGTAGCTAGATCTCCTTAGCTTGGCATCTTCCCCCTAAGAGGAGAGGCAGGGATTTTTCAACAGAAGCATGACTCACACAGCAAAGTTGGACTGTGTGCCAACAGGTCTCCAAGTTTTCCCCAGATTATGTCCCTCAGTAGCCAGTATCCACATGAGCAAAGGTCACACCAGCAGTCCCTATGGGTATTTTCATAGTCTCTTCTTCCCCAGGAGACCACCCTCACCCACTCCCAGGGACTATTAGCCTGCCTTCTTTTCTGACCTCTGTGAATGGTCTTTATTTTCCATACCTTTTGATTTCCCATTTTGGAAATAACTCAAATTCACAGGAAAACTGGGAAAAAAGGAGAAAAGCACTTGCCTTTACTCAGGTTCAGCAACTGCTAGTGACTTGTGTTTTCTTTTAAAAATATTTTATTTTTGCTAAAATTCTTATACAATATTTTTATCCTATTATTTCTCCTCTCTCAGCTCTTCCCAGATCCTCCCACCTTCCTACTCAACCCAACTTCATGGTCTCTCTCTCTCTGAGTCATCAAAGAAAACCAATACAAACAATAAAAATTGAAAATCAGACAAAACAAAACAAACAAAAAAACCATAAAACAAAACAAAGGAACCGAAGGAGAAGAAGAAGAGGAGGAGGAGGAGGGAAAGAGAATGCACATAAACGCACAAATCATGGAGTCCATTCTGTGTTGGCTGACTGTACCTGAGCATGGGCCTTTCCCTGGAGCGTGGTAGACACTCCCAGTGGCACTCCCCTGGAGAAGGCGGATTTTCTCTTTCCCAGATGTCATCAATAGCTTCTTGGTTAGATGTGGGATTTTGTGTCCACTTCCCCTTCTCAGTGCTGGGATTTTGTCTGGTTTGAACCTGTGCAGGTCTTGTTTCTGCTACCACTATCTCTGTTGTGTTCTTTCTGGAAGACACTGTTTCCTTGGTGTCATCCATCGTCTCCAGCCCATAAACTCTTTCTGCCTCCTCTACCACATAGATCCCTGATCTTTGTGGGAAGATTTAGTTAAGACACACCATTTAGGACTCAGTGCTCTGAAGTTTGTCACTCTCTGAGTATCCAGTTACGGGGTTCTGTGTTACTTCCTGTCTGTTGCAAGAAGCTTCTCTGTTAAGGGAAAAACAATGGACGCACTGGTCAGTGGGTATAGAGGAATGCCATTGGGAGTCTTTATTGCTATGCTCCTTTAGCAGAAGAAATAGCAAGGTTTTCTTAAGGCCCATGACATATGTAGTCTCAGGTCCTTTATACTGTCAAGTATAGGTTCTATCTCTTGGAGTAGGTCTTAAATTAAAAAACAAAAGGAGGTTGATTACTCCCATAATATTTGTGTGACTATTGAACTAGTGTAGCTCATAGGCAGGTTGCTGCTGTTAAGCTACAGGGCTTGTATGTGGGTGGTATTGATAACTACTTTCCCCTCTGTAGCAGGTAAGGATAAAGCTTCTAGCTGGTCAGCAGCTTGGTTTTGATCATATACGTAAGTGACATCTTCAGCAATTGGGCCTTGCCATTGGGTTGTGGAACATAACTAATAACTTTTTTTTTTGGTTTTTTGAGATAGGGTTTCTCTGTATTGTTTTGGAGGCTGTCCTGGAACTTGCTCGGCAGACCAGGCTGGTCTTGAACTCACAGAGATCCACCTGCCTCTGCCTCCCGAGTGTTGAGATTAAAGGCATGTGCCACCTACGGCTGGCTAACTAATAACTTTTTAATAGCCATTGATGTTTGGGAGGGTTGATGGGACCCCTCTTGTTTACTTTTAATTATGTGTATGTGTATTTGTTTGTAGACATGTGTAACTGAGTGTAAGAATCCAAGGAGTCCAGAAGGGTTGGATTATCTTGGATTGGATTTATAGGCAGTTTTGAGTTATCTGACTTGGGCGCTAGGAACTGGTGTTGTGTCGTCTAGAAGAGCATTAAGTGCTCTTAACCACTGAGGTGGCTTTCTAGCCCCCATTAGATAGTCATCTTGTTTCACCCCTAAATAAGTCATCAAATATCAGCTAACTGTACAACCCCAAACATTACCACCTATGACCTACAATTCTCCAGTGGCTCTGATACTTTTATAATTTTAAAGTTAATTTGTGATCAGTGGCAACTGACTATATTGTGGTTATTTTGCTTCTTTTCAGCCCTTTGAATCAGGAATAGGATTTCTATTGTCATTTTAAATTGGTGTGTGTGTGTGTGTGTGTGTGTCTGTGTGTGTCTGTGTGTGTGTGTCTGTGTCTGTGTGTGTCTGTGTG